CGTGCAGATGAGCTTTTATCGAACAGCCTAACATAATGCCCTGCAGATGGGAGCCAAATGATCTGATCAGAATTTAACACAGATTCAGCTCTACACTTGTAGCTCATGAATTCATCATGGTTAATAGTAATCACAATTAGAAATAAATAATTGAGCTCAGTGAGGCCAAATGCGTGCATGTGCTTGTCAAGAAAATGAGTCAAGAGGATCACAGCCTTGAAAGGTGGTTGTTGTCATGCTCATCGTAGCCATGTGTTGCCTTCTTCTAAAGCCTGGCTCTGTCTGACCTCTGTGCTCACCTGTGTAGTGTACAGTACAGGAACCTCCTGTTTCTTTAAAGTTCCCTGCAACTTTACTCAGCCTAGTCAGAGGCTTATGGGGGATGCTATTAAAGCACTTCGTTCTAATTATCTTGATGGACAGAAACATGCTTCAGGTGTGAAGGGGTAGATATGCCTTGGTTCTTTCAGAAAGAGAGATCTTGCACAGCAGAAAATGAGAAGATATAAAAGTGTGGTGGACACCAACTCAAATAGCATTTGCTTTCTGCTGCTTTTCATTTCACCATGTTTAGCCTTTTTAAGGGACCAGATTATTTTTTTTGCATTTGAATTCTAGCTGGTGGGTGTCTCAGGCTTCGCATTCATAAGAGCCTACATGCCTCCTGCAGACCTGTGTACGTCAGAGCACAGTATCCCATTTGTACCTGGGAAGTGCAGTGACTAACCAGTGTAAATGTGCTAGAAAAGCCAGTTGTTTGCAGATGTCTGTAGAGAAGAAATTTGCTGTAAAGAGTAAATAAAAAGCTAAAAGCTAATGAAAATAGAACTACTCACATTCAATGGCACATATTTTAAATAGACTGTATTTTAAATAGATTGCTGAATTGATCCCAGGAACTTTATGGTTGATCATTATGGGGACTGTATTTCTTTCCAGATTCCAAAAGGCTCAGTTTTAAGTACAGTGCAACCTTTTCCTCCATGACATGGAAGCAAATAACTTTTAACAGAGTTTGAGGATGGCACAAAGGCTGAAGGCAAAGTAAATAGCAGTCTGGACAGAGCAGTCACGCAGAGCATTCCTGGTTACTTGGTTGACTGTTGTCAACAAAGTGTGCTAATTTGTATTTAGCTTCACTTTTATTGCAATTTAATCTTATTTAATAATATTATTTTTTATTAATTCACTTTTATAATTTTTATGTATTAATATTTAATCATACTTGATCCTTTAAATTGTATTACAAGGCATGCAAAATCAAATGGCACAGACTCTGCTTTTGAATGGGTGGCAATCCCAGAAAGCTGTGCAAAATGCATAGAGATCTGAGTGAACAAACAAAGAATGTGAGGATCTGCTGCAAGGTTATGGCACGATGGGTTAATGTGATAAGGAGCAGCAAGTAAGTTTTAACTTTATTAGCAGAATGAGAGCAGTCCTGCATTACTGTGTGTGCTTTTATGTCCACATTTTGAAGAACTGAAAAAATTGAGATTTTTATCTTTTAAAAAGAGACACAGGTTTATTAAGTGGGCTGGAAAAGTGCTCTACAGTAAGAAACCTAAAGACCTCAGTCTGTTTGGTTTGTCAAGAAGAAAAGCGAGTGTATGAGTAACTTTCCTGAAATGTAATGGCAGGTATTAAACAGGTCTTTAATCTTGCTGAGAACGGCAAAGCAAGGGCACCAGCAGCTCTAAGCTGATGCCAGACCAATTCAAATTATAAAGGAGAAATGCCTTTTTAAGTGATGATGGTTTAATATTGGAGCAGGATATCAAAAGAATTGGTTCTTTCTCAGTCACACATTAGATGCTTTTTCCTGGGGAGCTGTGCTTTAGCCAAGCATACATTATGCTTGACAAAAACACAAATAGCTGGTCTTCATATGGAGATAACTGTGTGAAATATAATAGTTGATGATGTGCAGGTGGTCTGATTAAAACCAGAAGGTCTAATTTAAGGCTATTGTGACCTTAAACTCAGTGATTCTCCTGTATGCTGAGCTGAGTTGGCTTGAGACTGCTAGAACAAATTGTAGTGGCACTCAGAAGCCTGACCACATGTGTTCCCACAGGAAACGAGGTGATTGCAGTAGACTGGAAGGGACTGAAAGATGTGGACCAAATCAATATGGACAGCACCAGTTCACTGCATGGCAGCAGCTTCCATCGACCTTCCAATGAGGTGAGTGCCTGTCCCAGACCCACTTACCCAGGGGGATCAGAAAGTTTCAGTTCTTTCTGAGTTCAGAAATGAGTGTTGTGCATCACCGGGGCATCATCTGGGAGAGGACCAGAATGCTGGTGTGTGCCCACGGATCAGACTTTCATAGCTGTCCAGTTTGGCTTGCATTGAATAGAGTTGAGTCACCTGCTTCACAATATCCATAGTGAGTAAGAATTTGCAGATGAAGGTGCTTTTGACCACTCATGACTGGCGTGGAACAGAACATGGGAAAAACTGTGGCGGTTCTGACAAGCCTGTAGGTCTGCGTTCCTTGAATAATGGGTTCATTCAAATGCCCAGCACTATGTCTGTCCCAGCTTCTGCAGCACAGCCATAAAATCTTTTGAAGAAACACTTTTGCCTCCATTTTGATTTTTAGGGCTGCATTCACTAGTAACTTGCTGCCAACTGATTTACCTTGCAGTATCTCAAGGGCTTGTTCATTTGCTGTTCTGAATTATTGCAGCTTCCGCAATCTTAGATACCTGAATTTTCAGCTCTGTGAGGTTAAGGGTATGCGGTCATGATTAAGAAAAAGATCAAAGCTATCTTAAACACACAATATTTGAGGGATCACAAATAATGTTCACAAATAACATTAACAACATACAATTTGCAAAATCTTACAAAATGCTAATGTTATAGGTATTTTTATTTCCTTGTCATACCTTGCTGGCTTGGAATGTAACTTCAAGAAACTTGCAGTTTCACGGAATCCTGGCGGAAATTGTGGGGCCAAAACTTGTATGGAAGATTCAGTTAAATCAAATGCAGATCTAAAGGTCAATGAGCATAAGCTGTACCTCAGTGAACATTTTGATTTGGTGTACGTGTAATTGATTCATTTAAATTTTCCTGAGTGTCCGCATCCCCAAAACCAAGGTGTGAGTCCTCCCAGCTGAAGGAAATGCACTATGAATTGGTACTGTAATGGCTAATATGGGAAGTGGATCTGGTTTGCAAGGGGAAAGTGGGTCAGAATGGGCAAACTGAAAGACTACAAAAGAGAATAATTTCAGCAGAAAATAATTCTGTAACTTGCTGTATTATACTCAAGATACATAGGTAGTGTAGCTCCTCCTGGTGTTAGCCTCAAAGCGATGCAACTCCCATGCAGGGGTGCCAGCATTGCAACGTTTAGCCAAGAGCTGTTAGAAGGGGACCATTATGAGAAGGTGTTTGTTTCTCTCTCTCTTGCTCTCTAAAATCATAGAATCATTTAGGTTGGAAAAGACCTTTAAGGCCATCGAGTCCAACCGTAGACTCTATATCATCCTACTTGCTACTGTACCTTCAAACGCTGTGATACCTACAGACACCATAATCAACAGCAGGGAAGGAAACCATGTTGAACAACGCAAGTTTTTTTGATACATCAGATAAAGTAGTGACTGTTGATTATGGCAAACTACTAAAGAGATGCATGGCTGTTTGCAACTGGTTTGTTACACTGACACGATGTCCTCCTTTGCTTTCTTTAGCAAACACGGACAGATTTCTCCTGGGATGGTATCAATGTGAGTATGTGCCACACCACTTTTCAAATTTCTAGTCATCTCTTCACAGGAAGACCAGGATTTGTCTGCCATTGGATACAGTGGAGATTGGAATGGAAACATGACTGAAAGTCTTTAGTGCCACTGAAATTCTGGTAATTGTCTAAGATTCAGAGGACGGTGATGAATTTTTTTTTGCCTCTGGGTCTTTTGCTGTCTGGCAGGTATTTAGATCTGCAGGTGGCTATTAAATTGCCTTTGTCCTCTTTGGGACAAATGTGTGCCATTTTATATGTTCTCTTTTCAAGATTTCTGGGTGCTGCTAGATAAAAAAGGTGTCTGTCCAACAAGTTTAAAAAATCAGTAGTCTTTGATTAGAGCGTCATTTGATCTCCAGGAGTTTGGGAGAAATGTATCCCTTGTTTTCAGTTGCATACACGAGTAAAAGAATTCTTAATGTCCCCTGGGGCAGATGGTCAGCACCAGTTAGCTTCAGTTAACAAGTGGAAGAAGAAACAAGCAAACAAGTAACATATGTTCCTTGTTGCTCTTAATACCTGTGCTATGAAAAAATATGATTTTATTTTTTTTCTTTTTCGCTAATACAAAACCAGCGTCCTGAAAAGGGAGTAATGCATGTTAGTGCTACCAGACTAATTTTTGTGCTCTGGAGGCTTAAAAGGCTTGGAAAGGAAAGATAAGAAATTGCATTTTTGGTAGTATAAGCTTTTTCAAATTCCAGATACTTTCAGACCTTTTAAATGTCTGTCATTTTCTGGTTCTCTGTGGTTTGAAAGCACTTGGGCCACTGAATATCAAGGGGACATATTTTTAACTAACCCTTACCCTACTGACATCTCTCTCATTGTGGCACTTACGGCTTGGGATCTTTTGCCTAGGCTCAGTTAGAGAAAAAAATTGTGCAGGAAAATTATGGTGCAAGGAGCAACTGTCTAGAAGAAATTTGTCAGGTTTTTCCTCACTGCACTTATGTCTAGCTGAAACCAAGGTACACAAAGCCGTATTTCCTTAAAGATAGTAAAGACAGTTTCTTTACCCACAGTTTCTGATTTTCCAACACATTCTGAATCCATGCAGCTCTTTCATGATGCAGCTCTTTCTCTTTCTCAGTGTAGTTCCATAGATCTTTGGTATCAAAGCTGACTCATGAATTTCCTTCCCTTCCCATTGATTCCTGCCTTCATGTCATAGCTCTCCAGCCTCGTAGTGGTAGAGAGCTTCTGCAGTTTACTTTCTTTTCCGGACCATTTCCATGATGTGGCTCACAGCACAGTCCCCAGGCTGCCTTGAATCAAATGGGTGGATACAGAGAACAGCAGCACCCAGGCAAGAATGACCAGTGGGGTCATAGATGGGCATTCTTCAACCACCTTCATCACCAAAGGAAATGCATAATGGAACAAGGACTGTGTTCTCCGCTACACCTTTCACTTTTTACAATTCTTCCCCTGCATTCTGATTTCTTCAGCTCACGTGTTACACAGAGACATTCCTGGCTCCAAAGTTACAGGATGCCTTAGCTGCAGCATTTACACTCAATTTCCAGAGAAACTCACCTCATATTTTGGCAATTGACTGCAATTATATGCAGTTCAACATCTTTACAATGCCTTCCTTTGCCTCCAACTATTTGACTGTCTAGCTATTGCTCTTCTCACATTTCATGAGGCTTGTACCAGTGACCAAATGCTTGCTTCATGTCAGGATTTAAAATTTCCAGTGTCGTGGTCACTACTTTTGAGTATCTTTGTGTTTGAAACATGCTGGACTTGATTTTCAGAGAGGTTGAAACAAAGAGCAGAAGCAATGCTTGTTTAGCGCTTGTGAAAATTAAGCCTTATATGCAGAGCCTGGCACTTCTGAAGAAGCCTGATGAAATCATCTTGATGGATTGTGTTTTATGGTGACATTTGTGACTGCTGCCTGTCCCATTAGTTTCCTGTCCTTGTTATTCAGGGACTGAGGATGAACACAGAGAAGAGCGTAAAGGCAGTTAAGTCAAACTGTAGACCTCATTTCTTTACAGATAGTTGTAGGTGCTTGAAAGAGGATGCATGACTGATACAGTCATGTTCATTTTATTAAGACCATATGGGAAGAAATGAAAACCAGAAGTAACATATAAAAATTAATATCTGTAGTATGATGCATATATGATGCATTACTGTGTCTTGCCTGTCACATTGTCAGCTCCCCATTGTAAGCTCCCTGAACTGTCCATCAGCCATGTCTTGCATCTCTAACACAGAGTTGGGAGCAGTCCAGCATGTCTGTGGAGGACTGGCAGAAACAAAGGCGGGCTTCTCACAGCCTGCTTCTGCCTCTCCCACTGACCTTGCCTCACTCAGTCCCAGTGCTACGCAATAACCAGTCCTGGTTAAATAGCCTCTGTTTTTTCATGCCCTTCTTTTGTTATTTTTCTTGTTGCTTGCTTCTGCTCCTCATCTTGCCCCTACCTTCTGGAATCCCTACTGATTTCTCACTTCAATTCACTTCCTTTTCTCCTTCCTGTATATTATTTCTTCATATTCTCTCTCTTTTCAGCTCTCCATGGAAGATACAACCTCCATCCTCCCCAAGCTGAAACGCAACTCCAATGCTTATGGGATTGGGGCTTTGGCTAAATCATCTTTCTCTGGTGAGGTCCTCAAAATTTGTGTTTATCCTTGGCAGCTTCTCTCCACAGGCCTTTTTGCTTCTTCCCATATCTCTCTGTTGCTCTCCCAACTGCTCCTTTCTAACTCGTGCCTTTTTTGAGGGCTTAGAGGAGTCTCCACCACCATGGTTCTAGATAGGGAAATCTCTTAGCTGTTGCCCTTTCAAAGAACAGATTTGTCTTACTCCTGTTGGCTTCTCAACATGCACCCCACCACAGACATCTTCAGTTGCTTCACCTCAAACAGTCTTGGTTTAACCCCATTTTCTATTTTTTAGTTTTTTTCACTTCCAGACTTCATCCCTCTTGCCTAGCTCTGCCCTAAATGGAATCTAGGCAAGGAAGGAAATGGCCTTTCATATTTGGGGTTTCCCTTTCCCCCCTTTTGAGAGCCTGTCCAAGGAGAGATGGAGAAACTCTCCTGGAGAGTGACAGAGTGAAAGGTGGGAGACATCCAACCCAAGGCATGAACCCTGTCAGGAAAGCAGGGGAGAAGCTCCACTTCCGAGAGGTAAACAGCGTGGCAGACAACCCTGGAGCTGTGTAATAGCCCCTCCTTGTTTTCTAATGTCTGGCCCCTTAGGGATATCTCGCAGCATGAAGGACCATGTCACAAAGCCAACGGCTATGGGCCAAGGCCGTGTGGCACACATGATTGAATGGCAAGGCTGGGGCAAAGGTAACAGCCAGCAGCAGCAGCACACGCACGAGACAGCACGCAAAGACGCTGATGCCTACTCAGACCTGAGTGACGGTGAAAAGGAGGCCCGGTTCCTTGCAGGTAGTGCTAACTTTTTGACATGTGGATTGGATTGTTTGGGATGTCACAGATCAGAATCCTTGAGAGATCAAAGTCCAGGAACCTGAAAAACACCCTCAGGAGAGCCTGTGGGTGGTTCAGATGGCAGAAGGAGATGAGAGACTGTGGTTGGAGTATTGCTATGTGGTTGGAATGCAAAGTGGAGAGGGTGAGAGCCAGCTGGGTGATGGGTGTTGCTGAGATATGACAGGAGTGGGACAGCATGACCAAGAGATGAGGTTAGAGAGGGTGGTGAGAAGTGGAGACTTTCACACATCCTTGCTTCCCCTCCCTGTCTCCTTTGGCGCAGGAGTGATGGAGCAATTTGCTATTTCTGAGGCAACTCTCATGGCCTGGTCCTCCATGGACGGTGAGGATGTGAGTGTAAACTCAAATCAGGAGAACCCAGCAGGCAACTACTCTGAGAACTATCAGGAGCTAATGGAAAGCCAAGGTTAGTTCCAGTGCCTCTTGCTAATCTTGAAACACCCCTTTCCTGCTCTTGTTGTCGTGTTGCTCTCTTTCC